AGAGACAATACGTACCCTAATGATAGTTAAACACAAAATAAGGGCTGATCGTGCCAAGCAGCAATAGATAAATGTTCAAAAAAAAAAAAAAAATTTCATAGTAAAACAATGTCTTACTTATTATCTGGGATGCCCGTATACGTATTCAACCGTATACTGCCGTATGCGTCCCGTGCACGTACCGTATTGACTAGCGCAGTGCCGGAATACGGTACGGATGCTGTACTGAGAGGACCCGTATCGGGTCCGTGTCATTACGGCCGTATCTGTATACTGTACGGTGCCGACCCCTAGGTATCTTGTCCCCAGATAGTATATAACTATCACCAGACAAAAAGTCACGCAGCAAACAGGAAGCTGTGCACCCTCTTATAAGCCCAGTGCTTTGAGTAGGCATCAAAGTGAGGATAGGGGGATTTTTTGTGGATTTTTTAGGTAATTTTAGAAAACAAGTCACGTCAGCAGTAGGCCCCGTTTGGTACTGAACAGAAGTCACGCACTGTGTGATCATAGTACCACAAAGCAAATGCGCCGACACATGTGAAAAAACATTGAGATGACACAAACAGAGTATGTAAGACAATGCAAGTAAAAAATAACACGTAAGCATGATTCCTACAGTCAACATGATCATGTCATGCAATGAGCGAACCACCAATAAGAAGCCGGAACGGGAGACAACCGATCCTTAGCACCAGGATCTTACCACTTGTAGTATAGGTGATCGACAGATACTTAGGATACGCTTGGGACTCACAAAAGGGCATTCATATTGGCCTCATAACACCCTTTCCTTCTCCATTCTCATAAACTTGAATTACTAAGGAGGCAGGGATCGCCTCTCATGTGATTGCTTAACGGTACTGTTCAAAATGCGATAGCCTGGGGTTTAATTCCCCGTGTCGGAATATCTCTTTTTCTTCTTCATTTCTTTGTTGTCGCGTCGCCTTCCTTCCCCACTTTTTGTTGTTGATTCAAGGGATAGGATGGGCTTAATTTGCTCTGATTATTTTTGATAACTTACATAATCTGACTTTCTAATTTGTTTTTATCACACCCTGATCCCGATTTTGTTTTATTTCGATTATATTTCATTTTCCTTCAGACTCTGCTTCCGCCACATTCATTATTCATCTTTGATTTCATTGGTTCATGATGCTTTGTATTATTTTCATTCGTTCACTTATTATTCTCAGACTCCGTCACTCTTATCATTTCATTGTCATTCATTATTCTTCGGACTCCACTTTGTTATCATGCTAAATTCTCATTGATGCCAAGCACCACTTATGTTTTCATGTGTTTATGTTCCACATGACTTTTACATTATATTCTCATCGGCCTCCGCTTTATGTTATCGCCAACCAACCACATTCATTATTACTCTTTCTTTATCAGTCTCATCTTCATGACCCTGACTATTATTCCGTATATTTTCCAGTCTCCATTTTAGTATAAATAGCTGCATATGTATTATGGTTCGGTAGTCAGAAATCAACTTTGTTATTCTGTTAACTCCTTCTGGCCTCCGTCTGTCTATCCTCTCTCTGTTCTACTACACTTGGTCTCCAAGTTCTCTTATACTGACTTGTCTGTGACAGCTGTCAGACTCCAATCCTTTGTTCATCTGGACTTCATTCTGAAATAAGGACAATGCATACGACTAAGGGTGCAACATATAAGTTGAAGCCAAGTCCTTTCAGTTCATATTATCCAGACTCCGAATTACTTACCTCATTCTATTATATCCAGAGTCCGAAGTGACACCTAGATATCAGGATGTAACAGTATTTCTGACTGAACTCTTAATCATATGTCAGGAAAACCTATTCCTTTCAGATACTCCACTGCACCACCACCCAAAGAAACCACTAGGGATCGCAGAGACCGTTACAAGAAGTCAAGAGGCAAGCTAGTTGAACCTTTGGATAAAGAACCTCACAAGAAACGGACTCCGCAAGCAGACATTCCATAATGTCTTCAACTACCAGAGATACCTCGGTGACAATACCACCTTGGGGTTACAAGCACCAGGTGCATATATATCATCCGGCATGGTGTAGTAGTTAACATTATCACCTTTCATACAGCTCAAAATGAGACGATTGGAGCGTGATAACCTGGGGTTCGATTCCCCAGATCAGAATCTTTTGCTTTTATTTTGCCATTTTTTGGAGGGTTCTTGTAACAGATATGGACTCTGGGATCTAGTATACTGTAGTAGTTGTGGCTGCATTATGTAAGCCATTCATCTTTTTACCCTGTACTTGTCACTATGTTTGCACACCGTCTATAGAAGAGGTTCAGTGCATTTGTGACTGAGGGTATTTGGCTCACACTGAGGGTATAATCCCTTACAGTTCTTTGGTAGGAGGTGGCTGGATGGTGTGTCAGTGAGGTAGGTATGTCTATTATCCATGGGACGATGCAATAACCAAACGCGAAATTACAGAGAGGCATGCGCGAAGTATTGTTCAAAACCTCAGGCAGGCTCAGTGTAAATCCTTACTCATGATCAGGCTCGGGCTATGAGAAGGAGCCTGAGATATCTTTGGGATAGATAAGTACCAGTTATTTTTGTGCTTTAAAATGACACTTTCATCTCATTAACTTCTTGCCATGTCTCTAAGCTACTGGGACGGACCAGACTCCTTTCCCCAATTTATATCGTCCGATATGGTGTAGTGGCTAACATTATCGCCTCTCAATTCCAGCACTTGGTGCATGATAGCCCGAGGTTCAATTGCCTGTGTCAGAATGGTTCCTTTTGATTTTTTGATTTTCTATCTTAGGATATTTGACATAGCATTGAGACCGATTGAGCAAGCATTGGTGGACATTTACCGATGAACACTCAGGTGACTACAGCCCGTTGTTGTCATTAAAATTTAATTTAATTAGCTTCCTCCTATGCAGAAGGATTTGTATCACAAACCGGATGACACTACCAGGTTACCACAGCATGCAGTGCAAAAGAAATTTCTTCGATAGAAAAGAAGAAAAAGAACACAATCTAGCCTCACGGGGGGGTCGAACCTCCAACCTTGAGATACCCTGGATAAGAGTCTCACACTCTACTGATTCAGCTAGCAAGGCAGGTTTGATAACATCTTTCCTGTTTCTTTGAGTGCTTGTTCTTGGTCTCCAGTTTTCGAATTACCTTTCTAGAGGATACTTAATTATACAACCTTGTTTGGAACGCGATAGCCCTGCTTCTTTTGGATTTTTAGTGGACGCAGGGATGGGGCATGGGGTGGCTAGATGGAGCTGAGAAAAAGCAAGGCTCGTTGCTTCAGTGTCTAGGTAAAAATTCCCTCAGGCTAATAATCTTTTGTAGCTTTGGAATCCATAGCTGATTATAGTTTATGTACATTTCCATAGCAAAATTTGCATGGGCAATATCTTGATACGGACTGTATAGGCGGCCCTAGGTGTTTGTCACGAGAGGATTATAGATTATATAAACCAGGTTCTCAAAAAAAAAAGGAATATCCCTGTGTCGTTCCATAGGAATAACCAAAATTCCTTACCGAGCCATTAGGCGCCGATTTTTACTAAGTTTCCTGATGCTAAGGGACTCGGAAGATACGCAGATTTGGGAAGATTTCTTCGCTGGGAAATATCTTTGTAGCGAAAGGAAGACGAGGTTCTTTTATAAGCTGTAACTCCAACAGAGATGAATTATACCAGTTCGATGCGGATTTATGAGGGCAACAAGATCCTTGTACTCGGAACCTTTTCATAATGCCTTTTCAAAATGTTGTTGTATAAGCACATACTATTATTTCCTCGACCTGCGATATTCATACGAATCCATATTATTATAGTTTGTCTCTCCTCCATCATAACCTGGAAACGCTTCGGTTACCGTCAACATAACGGAAATGAATAGCATACGCTTCCAGAACCATTATTCCCTTAGACTTCGGTGGTATCTGCCGTCCAGTACTGCAGTTTGACTGAAACAATGGCAAGACAGGGTTCAAATGGCTCAGATGATGTAGATTATGACGTATTTTGTTGGCACACCCCAGTTTCCTTGAATCCCTCCCCCAGTCTGAGGTAATAGTCCTCGTCGCTTCCCACTTTCATAGGCTTCATAAATAGACGCTGGTATTCTTCCATAATTTCCTCAGTCCCCTGGCTCATTTTTATGCGCTTGAAGAAGTTGTCCACCTTTTCGGCGATTGATTTCAAGTTCCTCCTATATAATGCTTCAACTTTTTTTCGTGATTTTATCCGACTCTATGCTTAGAGAATCCATTTTGTACCGATCGAGAGCCCACGATGGCAAAGCCCCTATGTTACTTTTTAATTTGGTGTCGAATCCTTGTGATTTGAGAATACTGAGTATATCTTCAGATAAATGTGTCAGGATGCTCGGAGTATTCTTCACTAATGATTGTGCAGCTGTAAGAGCTGGAATTTTTTTCTCCCCGGAGTGATTCGGAAGCATCGGCCCTTTGCCAGGACCAGTCTCCACCAGAGTCAGGAGCATCTTGAACTGGGTTGTCAATATCATCGAAAACCATTGTCATGTCAAATTTTTGGTTTTTGGTTTCTGGATTTACTCTGAAATATTTCTGGTAGTGCTGGTACGCCTCTTTAATAGCCGCACTAATTAGGCCTGCGTTCAACAACCTTTTGTCAATTTCCACATAATGAAAATCTAAGGCATCGTTGGCGCCCTACGTAATGATTCAAATTTATAAGAGAGTATAAACTAAAGGCTTACTCCTGTGAGGTGGAATTCAGGCAAGAAGATACCAGAATCCTTAGACGGCATGATAAGGAGCCAAGTATTTATCTGGCAAGAGAGTGCGATTGAGATATATTTCTAGAGTAGATGAAAGCTTTCGAACCTTATAATAAAATGCTTGCATGAGGCGGAGATCTCATTTATGCCATAAATTATGATGGTTATGCGTTGATGTCCCTTTGTTATTTGCTATTTTTATTTAGGTTATATGATAGTCTCTAAGCTGTATCGTCTTCGATTGAAAGGCATGTTTATTGTAAAAGGCCTGATGCAGAGTCTAGAAAAAGATGAGATGAAAATCAGGTTAAGGCCCTTGCCTTATTTACCACCCAAGGGTTCGTCCCAATGAGTTTTATAATTGTATTGACTCATAGATGGTAAATTCATAAGGATAGTGGGACACGCATTCTAATTTTACTCACCGAGAAAGAGCTTAGGGGCTAATAAAAGCTCCAAAAAGTGTCAAATAATAGCTGGGTCCCTAAGTGCTGACAGGGCTGTTCAGTTGGAGTCGCCGTCTTTCGCAGATAAATGCATTGTATAATACCAAGAGAAGTTCAACCTCTATTCCAAAATTTAAATAAATTAGTTACTGGTTTAAAGTGCTACTGACAGCCTGGATTCGAGCCCACTTGCAAAAGGTGCCCTCCCCTAATTATGTGTTACAATGTGGACAAGGAGGGCAAAGGTGTGATCACCGGAAAAAAGACATGTAGTCTGCGGATCACCAGCTCCAGGGTTTCCCTCAAAGGACATCGAGCTGAACAGCTATTTATTGTCAAAGGGCAGGAGTCAAAGTTGCCAAAGCCTAGAATAACACACAATGTACAACCATTTCGAGTCGGAATGCAATATATTACACATTCAAATACAATAGAGCTGTGCAATACAATTAGACAGACACAATAACACAATAAAATCAAGAATCTATTCCACATCACCTCCCTCCAGATCTACTCTTAAATGCTAATAAATCAATATTGAAACACAATGAAGTCCAAATCGGATGTGAGATGATAAATACACATCTGGCTTTATAACACATGCTCCCATTCATGAGTAGGAGCCCACTTCCCATCTCGGTATAACAAAGGGGCCTAAATAATAGATTATTAAAGGCTTTGATGCAGGATGCAGGAAATAAGGAACTTACGGGCACACTTCCTCTCTCCATTAAAACCCACTCATCATGGATCCATGGATCATTGATGATTTCAGTCCAACTCGGACGGTCATAGGGCGAAAATCGAAGCAACTTCTTGATAAACATTAACGCTTGTTGCATCTCAGCTTCTAGTAGATCTTCTCGCAATATAGCTGGATATGATTGATCCCGTAAGAAGTTGAGCAGGTTACTGTAGATGGCTTCAACAGATTTTCCCTGGTATGGCTAAAGGAACAAGGAGAGTCAGAAAAACATTAACAAAGGAGAGAGAGGTCATACTGTAAATCTAAAGACCATATCCAGTGCCATGATACCGGCACTCCAAAGATCACCAGGTTTTCTTGACCCTATGTACTGTGTTCCATAGCTCTCACCACACAAATAATCTCCCTCAAAATACTCCGGTGCTAGATAAGCCACTGTTCCACCATATCTACCTCGCCATACATTCTCGCGATCAGGTCTCGAGGCTCCGAAGTCTGATAATAGCATTTTCCCTTCTTCACTCATCATGATGTTGTCAGGTTTGACGTCTCCGTGATAATAACCGTGCTCCAATCCAGCGTGATGTAGAGCAAATAGGTTTCGAAGGAGTGAGATGAGGTAGTACCGTGCAATATGGGGATGTACAGAACCCTTGGCCGAATATGAATAGTTTAGGGAAAGATGGCGAAGGAGACTACGGAAGTCTCCGGCAGGCATGAACTTGAGGAGTATTCCAGAGACCAAGGGAAGAGGGGCTGGAAGGCCTGGAGGATGGGAGTTGGTGGGATCGGAATGATATCGTTGAGCCAAGTGGAGGGAGCGTTGAGAGTAAACGCGTCCTAAATATGGCACCATGTTGTTGGGGATGAAGGCGGAGAGATATTCGAGCGTCTCCGCTTCCGATTGAAGATTAGGGCACGGATTATGATGGTGAGCAAATTTCAGAGCACCGATGATAGCTAGAGATTGCTGATGATAGGATGGATGGTGACCAGCCGACTTAATCTGGGTGAGGTATACGGCGCCATTCCCACCTGCACCTGTTGGGAAAGGTTAACAATGCGAATGGAAGTAATGAGTAATAAGGAACATACCTAGTTGTTTTCCAATAAGAATATCTCGACTCGTGAAGCACCTAGAGGCCGAAATGAGTATTGAAATCAAAGGTGGTATAGGCTGAAATACTTACCTCACCGGCGAGCCACCCATTCCAGCACAAGTAAATCCAACTTGAGATGCCCTCTTCGCTCGTAATACAGCGCAATAATTTTCGTTATTCGCAGATGCGTCTTTCTTCTTCCCCCAATACCGTCTTGGTCCACCTGCACACTTCCTTGATCTCGACCTCGAAGAACCATCCACGCCGTCTTCAATAGTCGACACCCGGTTAATGCGACACAAGTTTCTTTTGAGATGTTCGTCCGCGTTCGAATTTGAATCTGTGCTGCATGATGTTGCAGTCGAGTCTAGCCACACAGATGGGAGGACGAGAGATAGTTGAGCGCCCGCTGGACCCCAACGGACCTCGCTAGCCACGATTGACCGCTCGTGAAGCTCCGAGTAACTGCAAGAAGCGAATTTAGCGGGCATGTTTCGATGGATGGATGGATAGGATCGTCGTAGTAGGAATGAAAGGGGATGGAGCTCTGAAAGGTGGTTTGACTGGCGTTATAGTGAAGACGGAAGATTGCGTTTCGCAGACCCCTTTTAGGCCAGCGGCCAGTGACAATCTCTCTTGTAGGTTCCAAGACAATATTTTGCATAATTTAATTGAGAGCCTTAACTTACAATATACGTGTTACTGGTTGCTATGTTTTGTGAGCGAATTTCTATATAAGTAGCCTGCAAA